ATATGCAATGCACATATGACGATGGACATACACAAAGGCACAATCAAGGCATACACAATGCAAGATCAAGCACATGACAACATGGACATGGCATACACAATGCAAGATGGACTTAAACTAAAATGAGTGGGCCTCAGCCACACTCAAATCAGTGGCCATATGTGATAGGATTAGGCAACAAAACACATGCGAATATGCACGAATACCAAGGACCGAACCTAGGGCATCAAATGCCACTCTACCAATGCATGGCAAGGGATGAAAGATGGCATACAATCATTCAATTTCCAGCACTGAAATATGATGCGCAATGGTCCCGAATCATGGAAATATGGCACCCAATGCATGAAAGAGACCCCGAAACTCAAAACTAGGCAAATGCATTGAACTATAATCATGCAAAGAAAGCATTATTTGATCATAAAGTAAAAAAATAGAGCCAAGGCAGTCCCAAAATATGCACAATATTAGTTCAAAGCATGGCCAAAGAGTGCTAACATGATGGGCTAAAACAACATGCAACTTAGACTAGTAAGCATGGTTTACACTACATGTATATGAAGCACAAGAGAGGTCACCAAACCAGCTAAAAACAGTAACATGGTATGTCAAATAAACTCCAAAACCCACTGAAATGAGGTCCATGCATGCAAGAATAGTGTGTTCCTTTGAAAGGCCACAAGAGGGGTTACTCTACACATGCATCAAGGACACTTAGCATAGCAAAACTAACTCTAAAAATGAGTTATGGGGGTCCTAAAACCCACTGAAAAATGCTGGAAATGAAGCTTGGAAGCTTGCAAATAGGGGGTCCTTTGGAAGGGCAAAAAGGCCAACAAACAAGACAAGGAGAGAGGGGGTCACCCCCCTCTGATTTTAGCTCTCAAAAACATATATAAGCCACTGAAAATCCACTGGATTTCAGTGGCTAAGAGGCCAAACCAAGGCCAATGCAAATTCTCTAATGCATGGCCCTAATCATGAGGAAATGAAGCATGTAAAGGGGAAGATGACCCCAAACAGAAAAATTTCCTTAATCAAACTTCAAGAGGGGCTCAAAATAAGACTTTTTTTAGTTCATGGAAAATCTCGAAAATGCTTGCAAGTAAGGCTAAGATACCATGCAAAATAAGCCCCAAAAAGAGAGATGAAGAATACAAGGAGGTAGGTGACCTCAAACAGAAAAGTGTCCTTAATCAAACTTCAAGAGGAGCTCAAAATAAGACACTTTACAGTTTATGTCGAAGTCCAAAAATGCTAGCAAATAGGGCTAAAGTATATAGAAAAATAATGTAAGAAAAGGGAAAATGGAGACTTACCCTTGTAGCACAGCAATGCAGCAACTTTTGGACCAAGTTGGTGAACCTTCAACCTCTGCAAATCAATCCCAAGGTGCTGGAATATATGGTGGAGGTGGTAGGCTATGAGGTGTAGTGTAAATGACCAAGAACAAGGGTGTTTGAAGGCTTGAAGTAGAGAGATGGAGGGGAAATGGGTGTATGCCATAGCCAAGATTGTTCAACCCTTGCAAAATGAGAGGGAGGCCTCTCTTATAGAAGAGGAAAGCCATGGCTTCTTGGAGAAGCCTCAAGAGGGGGTCAAAGCTTCTAAAAGAAGCTTGACCAAAAGGGTCAAGCTTCCTCAAGAAGCTTGACAAAAGGGGCAAACTTCTCCTAGAAGCTAAGAAAAGGGGTCAAAACCACCTTAAGAAGACCAAACAAAAGGCTAAAATCTCGGACAGTGGGTCAAGTGCTACGCAACTGGCACAGCTGTATTGCACTCAAGAAGGCCAAAAAGCAGAAGGTTGGCCGACCAGCCAAGGTGGTCGGCCGACCACTTCCTCTGGTCGGCCGACCAGGGGTCAAAAGGGTCAAGGAGGAATGCTAGTCGACCATACCAGAAAGGTGGCCTCCCAGATGAGTAGAATACAGTTGTATGGTGGGAGACTAGAAAATGTGACCCAAGAGAGAGAAAAACCAGCTTTCTAGCAAGGTTCAAAAGGGTCAAGAAGAAAAGCTGGTCGGCCTACCCATATTGGTGGCCTCCCAGATGAGCACAATACAATAGTGGTATGGGAGACTAGAAATTAAGGTCCAAATGTGAGAAAAACCAACTTTCTGTCAAGAAAACTGGCTGGAGGAGAGAGAAAATGGTTTTCAAAAGAATTGCTGGTCTCCCACCATCCTACCACCTTCCAAGCAATGAAAATGGGGTCCATACCAAAAATGAACCCTCACCGATGCAAAACGAGGGTTCGGGGGCCAAAACACGCGGCCCGGGGCCCCGAAAACAGGCTGTTAGGCACCGGAGGTGGCGTGCGACCATGAAGGTGGTCTCTCGGGCCACAGTGTCCCTCAAAAAAGAGGAAACAAGGTGTGTGCCAAAAACCGGAGCAAACGGAGATAGTTAAGTAGTCCCGAACCAAGGCACACGGTTGACGGCTCTGAAAACCGGAAACTGGTCTCCAAACGGGAAAAATGGCCAACGACCACGAAACTTAGCCTACGGCCACTGAGAGATGGTCTACGAGACCTCTCCCTCCCTTCGGGAAGAGAAAAGAGAGAAAACAAGACCTGGTTCACAAACCGAGGCAAAGCACAAAAGAGCCCCGAAGTCCGGAGGCAAGGCTCGCAGCCGAGATTCTGAAACCTCAGAACGAGCACAATATACATCATCACCGAGCACTCAATTGGTGACGTCTGAGTCTTAAGGTCGGTCAAAAATTGGGTGTCTACAGCCAACAACTCATATCAAAAAGTCAAAGATTCCATTTTCTCTGTACTTTTTGCACATCTTTTCATAAAAAGTCAAAAAATCATTCAAACATACTAGTTTTTTTTACATCACATTTTAGCCAAAAAGTCAAAAAGTTACTAAAAAAATCTGTTCCCAAACGAGGCCAGTAAAAAAATATTAATTTTGTTGAATGTTTGGGGGTAAAATGAATTAATGATTATAGTTTCAGCTAAGGATAAATTATAAATACACCCACTGAGATTTGTTCAAAATATGAATTATCTCCTATAATTTTGAAAATTACAAAACCCCTACCAACAGAATGAAATTTATAATTACTCTCCTATATAATAATAAAATTATCTGAATTATTAATTTAAATATATTTTTAGCGTCATTAAAAACTATTAATTGACTTGATAATTTATTAATAAAAGAAGCCGTTTATTATGAAATTAGAAATTTCAATCAGTGGAATATAATTTCCAAAGCCACATGGGTGATGTGTATTTTAAGCAAAATTCAAGGGGTGTATTTGTAATTTATCCAAAAAAATAGATTAAATTTCTCTCATGTTCACTCTCAATTCAAAATATGAATTATCTCCTATAATTTTGAAAATTACAAAACCCCTACGAACAGAATGAAATTTATAATTACTCTCCTATATAATAATAAAATTATCTGAATTATTAATTGAAATATATTTATGATATTAAAAATTGTTAATTAACTTAACGATTTATTAATAAAAGACGACATTTTTTATGCGATTAAAAACTTAAAAAGGCGGGATGTGATTTCTAAAATTATAAAGATAATTCATATTTTAAATATATATCAATAGTGTATTTATAATTTATGCCCAAAAAATAATAACAATAAATTATTAATTTTAAATTTGGGTGAGATGGTATGACCATGTTTTAAATGAAATGAAGATCATCAGAATCTCCACCTAACAACGTTCATTAGGCAAAGCAAGCAACGCGGATTTAGGTCTGATGATTCTTTAGTATAATGATCACATCCTTAAAAACTCCAACCTTTGACTTTCTTCTTTTTCATTTCTTAAATTCAATTATTAATGCAATAAAATAAAAGGACAAATGAGAGAGAGAGACCCATTTGCGGGTTTTGAATGGGTCAGCATATGGACCTTCTATCACTCCCTCCATATGTGTGGGATACGGAGACCTGTTTGGATTATTATCAAGTTAATATAATATTATCAAAATAAAATTTGAATAAAACCAACATTCTCTTAATAAAGGCAATCAGTCATGCAATTTTGCAAAAAATGAAAAAAGGTCACATATAGAAACATCTATGCAATTTTGCAAAATGAATAAATTATGCCGGTGAACTTCATAATTTTTTACAAATTTTACTTAGCTCCCCTATCTTTGTACTTCTTGTTTTTCCTTTTAATTTTTAACGACAATTGACAAAGGAGGGAACTTATTGAAATAAAATTAAAAGTGTAGCAATTAATTTGATTTAATTGAAATTACAAGAAGTAAAGTTAAAATTTTGCTCAAACTCAAAGGACTAATAATGTAATTTAGTATTCTTTTAACAATTAGTACCAAGAGAATATAAAGTATATGACAAAAGAAGTTGCACTTGCAATGGTATAATTTGAACCCACTATCACGCCTAATAAATGAATGTCTCATCCATTAATAAAAATAACTAATTAATACCTCAAAAGACTATTAGAGATTTGCTAAGTTGTTAAAACTTCAAAATTTTAAGATTAGTCAATGTGCACACGAGTCAGTTCAAACACCTAAAAAATAAAATAAAATAAAGTAATAAGAATTAATTATGGGGTCTTTTGGGAAGCTCAACTTTTAGCTTTTTATCAATTTTGAACCACATCACCACTCATATTTTTTATCCACAAAGTCAAAAAAGTTAACTTTTTACCAACTTTTCAAAACGCCACTATAAATGATTCGGATTTGTAGATTTTGGAAATGATCATTTTGCATTTTTTCTTTTGTGCGTGTTTTTTCAAAAGTGAGCATGATTGATTTCCATTTTCAATAAATTCCATTACTGATTTTTCATTTAAGAATCTTCCCAATGACTTAACATTAACTCTCCACCCTTTTTAAGGGCTTTTGAATGGGTCAGCGTTTGTACATCCACAATATTTTCCAATTTCCATATGACCAAAGACCGGTCTATGGGGAAAAACTCGTTTTCTCGGTCAAACTCCCCAAACACACCCTTTCTTTAAATTCAAATCCTTCACTCTCTGCTTCCTCAACCCTCACTCCCTCCTCTCCATACCGAACTCTGCTCCTCTAACCCATATCCAAACACCACCCAGTTTTCCATCTGAATTCCTCAATCCATCCAATTCTGATTCCTCATTTTCTGCAAATTGGAATGCTTACTGGTATGTGTTTTTGACTCTGCTCTGAAAACTAATAATCAGAAAGCAGATACCAAAGTGTCATTCCCACATTTCTCCAATCATCAGTTTGCCTCAAAAATTGTATCAAACACTTTCCCACGGATTCTTAAAATAAAAAAATTATAAGAAGCAGTTATAAACTGCACGTCGACTAGCACATGTCAAAGCTTTTTTTTTCTCTACATTCCCGTTTCATATGCCCTTTCTTATGACCATACCGGCATTCAATGTCTTTCTTTGAGCTCTGATCACAAGTGTGAGGGGTTCTACTCCTCTCTCTCTCTCTCTCTCCCTGATTTTTTTCCCCCCCAACAATCACCAACCTCAAGTTGATCAAAATTTGCATACAAAATGGAGAATGGTTTGAATTGGGAACAAACACTGATCAATGAGCTGGCTCACGGGATGGAGCTAGCCAAGCAACTAAGAGCTCACTTGAATTCAACTTCCTCTGCCGAAAGTCGAGAAATTTTACTACAGAGGATACTATCTTCATACGAGAAGGCCTTTATGATTCTCAAGTGGAGTGGATCAATTGGACATCCTCAGTTATCGGCACCCATCACCAATTTGCCAGAGTCTTCAATTTCAGGCGACGGGAGTCCTCAGAGCGAGGAATTCGACCGGGGTTTTAAAGATCAGCAGGACCAGAATGATGTTTCCAAGAAGAGGTGAATTTCGAATCCTAACAAAAGTGGTTTTTTTTTTTTTTGGTGGTGAATTTGATTTGGGAAAGTGTTTTCTTAGCTAATGTTTTTCTAAATACATGTTTTTTGAATTGGTGTTGCAGAAAGGTGTTGCCCACATGGACAGGACAAGTGAGGGTTTGCTCTGAGAATGGGTTTGAAGGTCCCACGGAGGATGGTTACAGTTGGAGAAAATATGGACAGAAAGACATTCTTGGCGCCAAATATCCCAGGTGACTATTCTCTCTCTTATCCTAATTTTAAAGTCATTTCGATCATGTTTTAAAATTTTCATAAAATTCTCATAGCGGTTGAAAGTGGATGGAGGACAAGAATTTTGAAGATGCAATCTTGACTTGTCTAATCTTATGATTCTCTTTTTTTAAACTTATTTGTTCCTTATCTTAATGCACTCAATCATTCAATTATTTAAAACTTTCGAAGCACGTAAATCTCAAAACATAATTTAATAATTTAAATTGTATTAGGATAACAGAATTAATAGATTTGGGAATAGAAGATTCCATGTCACCTGTCATAGGGTTTTACATTATTGTCTGTCCCATTTTTTTTAATTATCATTTTGATGACTATTTTTTTGCAATTATTTTCAGCTAATTTGCAATTCCCCCATAATTAAACCACTATCTTTATTCCATCCTGTTTTTTGGGCTCAAAAACTGGGAAATAAAGGCACTTTTTGGTATCCAAAATTGGCTGAGATGGACTGAGTCTAAAATGGAAGCACTTTCATTATGAGAAAAACAAAAGCAAATCTAATTCCATGATTTTGTTTGTGTTTTACAGAAGCTACTACAGATGCACATACCGCAGCCTTCAAAACTGCTGGGCTACAAAGCAAGTCCAACGATCGGACGACGATCCCACCATCTTCGAAATCATCTACAGAGGGAGACACAGTTGCAACGAAACCCCCCACACAGCTCCACTACCACCACCCCCATCATCATCATCACTAGACAAACAAGAATCAAAACCAAAAAACAATCCCAACAATTGCCAGCAGCAACAGCAATCCCAAAACATGTTTTTCAACTTCAGAACAAGCTCCAGAGTAGATACTGATGACTCGGACAACAAGGACATGGCTTCTCATTTCGAGTTTCCTTCGACATCGTCACTCGTATGGAACAATGGCAAAAACAATGCGAGTTTTGCATTTTCAACACTCGTCCGTGATAGCATCCTGGAGAGTTGTTGTTCACCATCGTTTGTGCCTCCGGCAACGTCTGAAACGAGCTACTTCCCAGTGCCTCCATGCCAGATGATGAATGGGTTTGGAATGGTCCATTCAGAATCCGATCTCACCGACATAATCTCCTGCAACACTTCAGCTACCAATTCTCCGATTGTGGACCTGGATTTCTCAATTGATCCAGCTGTTCAAGATTCACATTTCCCATTTGACAATCCTGGATTTTTCAATTAGTTCCCACTCATAATACTAAATAATTGTATTGGGATAGGTATCAATATCAGCAATAAGGTCTTGTATTAGGTAGTATCAACCGGATATCGGTATCAAAAGAACAAAATCTCAACATTGATACGTTTCTTATTGGCCAATATTTAAAATCCAGTTGCTGATCCTTGCTACCATAAAATGAGAAAGAAAGGCTCGCTTGTACGTATTAGTAAATAAGTTTATAAATCCTGGCCTAGAATTAGAAATTGATTCTGAAATAATAAACAAATTTCAGAGTCATGTCTTAGATTTCAGATTGTTGTATTTTTGTTCTTCCTAGGAATGTCAATTGCAAACATAATAAAATCTTATGTTCCATAAACAAGTTCAACTTCTTCAACAAAATAGTACATCAATAATCAATTGGGAATTCTTAGCAGTAAATAAGGTATCATATGACAAAGATGAAAGACCATCAAGACCACAAAATAAAAAATCCCAAAAGGGATGTCAAGCCTATATGGAAGAATTCTTATCTTCTTCGACAGTTGAAACCATGCTAGAGGTGGTTGGTTTTGCATCCCGGGTTTTCCTAAGAGCTTCCCTTAGACCCATCACAATGAATAAGTTGGTGATAGTTAGCAGCGACTCCGCCCCACCGTGCAACCAGTCCACATTAGATAATGATGTCCCATAACGCACCTTTGCTGTCCCAAAGGCAGAGTGTTTGAGAATATAGTTTCAAGTTAGAAATTAATAACAAATTTATTTTAGAAAAATTAAGCAAATCTTGCTTGGTGATGAGAAGTTACCGTATATTCCAGCTGGGACTGCTCAACAGCAGCGAAGCAGCAAAACATGAATGGAATCAACAGAGTTGAAACAAATAGGTTAAGAGAAATATAAAATAGGGTATTGGAGAAATTTATTTATTTTTATCTAACTAATAATGCTGACTGCCACCAGAGAGAAAGGAAGAGCAATCCTAGGGCTAGAAATTTAGACCTGCCTCCAACAATGTAGAAACTGATAATTACTGATCTGAAATTAACAGACCTAACTCCAAATTACAATTTTTTATTTTTATTTTTATTTTATAGGATAATGAGAAGCAACAGAGCTTAATTATCCCAATATGCTCTAAACAAAAATAAAAGATTTTTTTGAGAAAATTCTACTGATTTGTTTTTCTCAGTAAAGAAAAATGGAAGGAAAAAAAAAAAAAGAAGCTTTCCTCCTCCATTTTCCTGCTACTTTCCTTCAACAAATCCTAGAAGCAAACAATCAAGTCATTGATGAAGATTTTCATCCAGAATTTCATTGAGCTCTCAATGCATAAGAACAGAACACTGATGTATCTGATTCAGTAATTTAATGTAGAACTTCTCCAATTTATGCTTCGAAAGATAGATTGCAGTTTCCAAAATTAAAAAGTATTTCCACAACAAATAAAACGTAAGATTCAACATATTTTCTCTTTGTATGTCTCTTTTCCACAATTTTCTCATCAAGCCAAATGGGTTATTGGCTAAATTCTCCAACAAAAATTTATGCCTTTTTCAGAAATTTCCACCAAAACAATAAATATAAACCAAAGAAATCAAACAATAAAGTGAGATTTTCCAAGAAAACAAATCATTTATATGATTTTCTTCATGTTCTCATCCAATAGTCCCACAAACCCTAGAAATAAACAGGAGCCAAATTTCGATTCAACAGAAGAAAAGCAAAGTTGAGAGATGAATTGAAAGAAACTCACTGGTAGCGCCAACAAAGGCAAGCAAGAAGTAGAATCCAAAGAGAGTGAGCTTTGGAGCAGACTTGGATTTGGTGATGAAGTACAAGAAACCAATGTAAGGGAAGAGAGAGAAAGCAAAGAGCTGTGAAGCTATGCTCTGTGAATCAATGTTGGGTGCCCATGGGTCAACAGGCAAGAACCCCCCACAGACTATTCCCCCTCTCTTCCCACAATACCTTCTCTCTCTCCAACACTTGCAATTTGTGGTTTCTCTGCAATGCTTTGTCTGAACATTGTGAAGAAAAGAAGAAGGTGAAGGAGAAGAAGAGAAGCCCAGAAAGGTTGGGTTCTTCCAAAGAGGTTGGAAACAGTTAATCACCATTGAGCAGCAGCCTCTTTCTCTCTCCTCCACAATTATACGAACATGCAGTAATGGCTGTACATGGACATTGTTTTCCCTTATCAAATTCAAAGTTTTCAGATGAGATGATTTAGACCGCTTGATATATATACTTTTTGGCAGTGGCTTTGGTCCAGTCCAAGATCGGACTGGACCGTGCTGTTAGGTCCGTAGAGACCCACCACGGATTCAGTTTTGATAATCCGAACCGTTCAATGTGTAGAACTCGTCGAGTACTATATGTCTGTAAAAAATCACGTTAATCGGATATCAATAGCTATGTAAACAAAATAGTTTTTGATCAACCGTTAATTTTTTCACCGTACATTTTTTTTTATACAAAACTTATTTAATCACATATCTATTGATATCCGATCAACGTGATTTTTTATAGATATGTAGTACTCAACGATTTCTACACATTATCGGTTCGGATTATCAAAACGGACCCAAAAAAGGGACTCCATGAATCGAACTAAACGGATCTAATCTTGATCTCAACTTGAAACAAGCTGAACCATACTTTTTTTTGTTTGGATTTTTGTCTTTGGTAGAGTAATCAACACACTTTTCGTGGGTTGGGTTTGTTATCATATTCGAACCTGCCCACCCCCTGGCCCTAATTGAGAGGTTTTCGGCCTGCCATTTTGCCTTGCTGCAGGACCTTCTTGCAATACTAAGGCCAAGTTTGGGAAGACTAAGGTCAAGTTTGGGTAGTTTAAAAAAAGTTAAAAAGTCAAAAAGTTACTCAAAAAGTTAAAAAGTCATCACTATTCACCAAAAGTCAACAATTACGGCTGCACAACTTCCAATTCAAATTTTTTCCTACAAATCAATTTTTACAATTTTTTATTACACATTTTTCAATAAAAAGTCAAAAAGTTAACCCAAACATCCATATTTTCAACCTCAATTTTTTAGTCCAAAAAGACAAAAAGTACACTTATTTAGGACACCCCAAACAACCCCCAGACAAGTCCAGAACAGATGGCCTCGGCCTTTTTTCAGGCAGCCATGCGTTCAGCGTTCCTTTTTCGTGCCATCTACGTAAGATTCTCCCCAGCCATATCTTCAGAGTAATCGCCGAGAAGATCTCCCAAGTTTGAAAAAAAATCTTTGAAGGCATCCTCTCGGCCTGATGTAGACGGAGGGTCAAAATAGTTCAATCCGACTTCCTCAAAGGCCGAATTAATCGCTTCGTCAACTTCCACGGCTGATCGGTCCGAATCCTCGACGATTAGTTCGGCCACTTGTTCTTCCGGGTGTTCAGAATCAGATGACTCTAAACCGATCTGCCTCCTTGATTTATTTTGACGAGTCCATGTAACATAGTTGGTGACCAAGGCTTCATTGGTTTGTGGGACTAAACGGGCGAGATTGGCTATATTCCCCGTGGACTATTTATTTCATCTTTGTGTCACCAAAAAGGGGGCAGATAAGTTATTTGGTTTGGATAAGTTGTCGCATGTATGTGGGATAAGACAATGTCCCACATAAGTTTGTCCTAGGATTAGGTGAATGGTGGGATAAGGCTTGGCATGAAATCCAACACTGTTAAATGTGTAAATATCTTATCCCATCCCACCCCAAAACACCAAATAATTGTTGTGTTAAAGTCTAAAATGGTCCTAGGACTATTAGTCTCTAGACATCCAAATCCAATCCCTTCTAATTGCATTTGCAAAGTGTGTTTGATTGGGGGGATTATGGGGGAGATTATTTACTGTGAGGATTGGATTTTTAGTCCGCCGGACATGGAGTCTGGCCGAACTCCATATCCCTCATATGAGGGACTAAACAATCCGTTTTGTGTTGGGGGAGGGGGGGGGGATTATTTCCATGGGATTAGTATCTCACGGGACTAATGTATGAAATGTTCATTTTACTCTCATGCTATTACTTAGTAAACAATTGGAAAATGATAAAATAGTCTTTTGAACATTTACAATTTTTTTTAGTGATGTTAATTTAAAATTATGTATTAATCAAAAAATATAAATTATAATTAAATTTATTTAAAAATAATGAATTATAAATTTTGGCCTTATAAATTAAATTTTTTTAGTGTTGTTGAAAATTTAATTTATATATTAAATAAATTTATTTTTTATTGTCGTTAATTTAAAATTATATATTAAATAAAAAATATAAATTATAAATTATAAATTTAATTTAATTGAAAATAATAAATTAAAATAATTAAAATATTGTGCAAAAAATAAAATAAAACAAATTTTTATTTAATCTAGCTAAAAATAATTAAAATATTAAAGCTACGTTTAATATTGCTATTACTTAGTAAATAATTGAAAAAGATAAAATAGTCATTTGAACATTTATCCTTCTCTATAATATCCCAAACAAATATTAGATAACTAAAAATAGTCCAATCCAGACTTCTAATTTCATGACTAAACAAACATAGGATGCAAATTTAGTCCAACCAAATAGTCCCGGGACAATGTATCCCAGGACTAATAGTTCAATAGATTACAATCTCCCCTTATCCAGTCCGTCCAAACAAACTCACCCTTAAGGTATGTTTGACTAGTAGGATAAATAATGAGTTGATTAATAATTCATGATATTAGTATAAGATTGGTTATCTAGTGGGATTAGTGATGGACATAATTTTTTCTTGTTCATGTTTGTTTTGTAATAAATATGAAAATATATAACCTCAATTATATGTATGTTTTGTGTTATTAGTTGTAGGATTAAAAAATTCGTTAATTTTGTTAAATAGAATGACTATTGGAATCCAATCCGAATAATAAAATTGCAACCAAACAATAGAATATGAGTTTCATAGATTAATAACCTCAATCTTATGCTATAATCTACCCAATCAAATAAGGCAGTGTTTGGTTCACTGAAATTGAGTGGAATGAAATGATCATTCCATCAAGATATTCATTCTTATTTTTGGTTAATTAAAAAAATAAAGAAAAATACAATAAAAATGCAATCGTCATTCACCGTTACGATGGAATGAAAATTCTATAAGAGTGCTTAAGGAATAACCATCCTATTATATTCCATCCCATTTCAGCGAATCAAATAGAGTATTAAGGCCACCCATATGTTTAGGCATTTTTTTGATATGGCCACGTTCATGTCTGTTCATGATTATAAAATAAATCAAATTACTTCATCTCAATTCAATTCAATTTGTAAAATAAATTGATGTATTATTATTGATTGATGTGTATTGAATTACAAGATTGTTGTATTGATTTTGTACAAGAATTCCTATTATATAGGAGATGATTCTGGAGTAGGTGAGCAGTGAGTGGTGGAGGTAGGTGAGGAGTGAGTGGTGGAGGTAGGTTTGGTGGAGTGTAGTAGGTGATAGGAGTGAGTGGTGGAGGTAGGTTTGGTGGAGTGTAGTAGGTGATTTACATTTACATTAACACAATTAAAAAGTGGTTAATTTGAAACTTGATCAAGAATATCTATGACTATGACAAACTTACAGCTTGATCAAGAAGCTCTACAGACCTTTGTACATTCACATCCATCACAATACAATGCAGATGTGATTATGAATTCAAGAGTACAGTCATATGATGCTTTCGTGATAGTAGTATGATTGGTGAAATATTAACTATATTTGCGTTGGGTGAATAAGGAATATGATGAGGTATAATTTGTGTAGGGTGAATAAGGAATATAATGAGGTATAATGAATGGTGATGGATGAGAGAGAATGGTCAATTTTCTCCATTACAGCCTACAGGACTGCTAGAGAGCTCAACATCCAAATCATCATCCTCACCGACTTTCAAGCCAGAATTTGAAACTTCTCCAGTCTCCACCCTTCGAGCCAGAGATTTGTAGATTTCAAAACTGGAAAATTCATCTCAAAACAAGAACAACAAGACTCTAGTATTTTCCATGAAAATAAGAATCAGCCAAGAACAAGAACAAAAAAAAAAGAAAAAAAAAAGGGATCCATTCTCAATCAAGATTTCTATACTACCTGCTGTACACAATGCAGCTAAAGAAACCAGAAAGGGGGATTCTGATTAAGTAGAATCCAAAAACCTAATTCACAACCATGAGGAACAGTAGAATCATCGATCGCCTCTTTGGCTTTTGTTTCCGATTTGCAATTCAGTCGTCTCCTCATCCACATCCATCCCAACCTCCTGTTCAATTTCTTTCAATCTCGAAGCTTCAGCCTTCGCATTCAACATCGCCAACATCTCATCAACAACCTCATCATGCTTCTTCTCCGCTTCCAATTGAGCCATCTCCACCGCACTCCGAATCAACCCCATGTCCTCCGAAGCCCTAACTTTCGAATCTCCAACGACATCCCTCATTCAATTTCAATATACTCAAAGCCTCATCGATCGCCTCTCCCCTCTTCTTCTCGACCTCCAACCTAGCCAGAGCCTCCGCAAGCCTCTCTTCCCTCTCTCTCACTCGTTCAGCCGCCGCCACCTCGCCGCCGTCCACGGAGGCTCTGGAGGATGATGAGGTCATGGAGAGGTAACGGTCGAGGACGGAGTCGACGGAGGGGTTGCCGAAGGCGAAGGTATTGCCGGCGTTAGAGAAGGTGATGACGGCGGCTTCGGTGCCGCACAAGTTGCAGAGCTCGCCGGTCTTCTTGAAGAGGCCATCACGGCGCTTTGTGAAGGTGGTTTGTCTTCTGGCTTTGTCTTCGATTCTCTTGATTTCGACTCTTCTACGCCCCATTGTTACTTTATTCGCTTCTTCGTTTTCGTTTGCGCCAAATTCAAACCCTACTACAATGGGAATCTAAGGAATTGGACTTTTTAGGAGAACGTCAGGTCCTTTTATAGGTATTATTGGAGTCGGTGGGGGCACCCCGAAGTTGCGTTGGTTTTATTTTAGAAAAAATTAATCTAACCTCCCTCATTCATTTTTAGTAATAGGATAAATTCATAATATTATTTTATGATATTTAAGATCTCTCAACCGTATATCTATATTTCACATAGAAATTTGTCCAATTATTTGTCTAATGCCTCATTGATTCATTTTCGATCCAACGGTTTGACGGTTCACCTCCTTTTCCTCTTCGATTTATATATATATATATATATATACATAAAATTTTATAAAATTAACGATTTAAATTATTAGAATCCATATGAATCGGAGTAAATCCTCTCTATTTATAGTAATATTGTGTTTGGCCATAATTGTTTATCTTAAAATGGAAAAATTATTGATTAGTTAAGTGGCAGCGTCATGTGGTATTTCACATGCATTATGATTGGTGAGGGAGGTGAACATCATAATTTTATATTGAGTGATTTAAAAATATGAGAACGCATAATAATTTGTGATTGATCAAAAATATAATCATGTAATGACCTGACCAATTAATAAATTTTCCTTGAATCGAGTCATTATCAAAGTCAAAGATATAAGATAAATAGGACTGTGTCTTGCTTCGGTCCAAATAAGATGCTCATAAATCAATTTGTGGATATCTTACTGCATAATAATTGATAAGAGTACATCATTATAGGAAACTAATTTTATGTTTAATATTGTTAGTCAATATCATCATATATATGGTATTATTGTTCTTTTATTTTTGCAAAATTAGTTGAAATACTTTAACTTATGCAAATAAATTTAAAAGTTATTTCACAAAACTTAAAAATTAAAATTTAATATTTTTTTATGTGAACCTAGCCGTTTTTTACTACCCTTGCCACATTGGGTCAACTCTATACGATAAGCTCTTCATACTCGTAGTCACAAAATGTGTATCAAGTAAACTATATTTCACGAAACTTAAAATTTAAAATTTAATATCTTTTTATGTGAACCTAGCCTTTTTTACTACCCTTGCCACATTAGATCAACTCTACACGACACGCCCTACACACTCCTAGTCACAAAATATGTGTATCAAGTAAACTATATTGATCACGTGTACTAATTAAATATTAAATCCAAAACATGTGAGTTTTCATTTCTCCCAAAATTCCCTCCTTCCCATTGGAACTGTGACCCTGAATAGGGGTTGTGTTGGGTTTGCAGCTTCCCATAATTGAAGTTCTTACCATTGGTCAAAAATAAATCAAATAAAAAAATAACCATGACTATAGCCTTAGAATTCACTAATTCATCAGAAACCTTGCATACAACATAAACATAGGACCATGACAATGACTACATTCCACTCCATCTCTGCCTAGAAAGACCCAGTAAGCGTATACTGGGAAGAAATTTTATACGTAAGAGCTGGTAATTTAAAATTTTTGAAGCTATGTAGTCTGGCAAAATAAATACAGGAAATAGCAACCATTCAGTCGGAATAACAGGGACTAGGTGGTGGGTTCAAAAGCTGCCTGCTCGTGCCAAATGCCATTTAAGTTAGATTGCCACAGCCTCACGGCACCTTCACTTCCAGTAGTTGCTAGTGTCATTCCACTCATGTCCCACTCCATCTGCCAAACCTAATCACAAAACAAGGATATGTTACATTACATTACATGAGAGAGAGAGAGAGAGAGAGAACATCGACAAGGATGCAACCAGCTACTTCAGTGGGCATCTTGACATACCGTAGCAACATAATCATCATCTCATATGAAGCTTCATATGGCATTTAAGATCGGACTCCTTGCTAGTAAAATAATTTTAAATGAGTCCTTTATCAATGTATGAATATGCATAGAAGCACAGACAGACAAACAGGCAAACAGACACAAATGCATGACATCTACATGCATTATAACACATTTCAAAGTTCATTTGGCAGTGGCTCAGCATCTTTTCAATATATTTGCCACACCAATTATGTTCCATAAATATGCTATCCAAATTATGAAATTATGATATAAAGAAAACACGCATCTTGGGCTTGGAACTTGGATTTTTGGAGGGAAACGAAAATGAATGAGGAAAGTAAATGAAATTAAAGCTAAAATTTTCACTTTTCCCTTCATTTTCTTTTCCTCCCCACAAATCCAAGACCCAAACATTACCAAAATAAATTTCCATCGCACACCAAAAGCCCATTGGCGGAGTGAGGTGTTCGTAAGTTAACAGCTCTAACCATCATCTTTATTTCTATTAATAAAGCATAATTACATAACAATGTAAATAGATATTGGTACAACTACCTCGCCTACATGACCATACGATACGGATACGGCGATACGACTAAATTTGAAAAATTAGGATACGGGTACGGCGGAGATACGTTCATAAAAAATATTATTTTAACAATTTTTAGTAATGTAACATGCATAAAAATAAAACCTAAAGCAAAAGACAACTTGATAAAGAAGAAAGATTCCTATAAAACTAGGAGTCTTCAAGGTCAATAGCTTCAACTTGTTCCCCTTTATCAGTGAATATCACAAGACCTTAGCTAAAGCGAAAAAACCATTCTTAAATAAAAATTTTAGCAAATATACTTTTTTAAGTCATCAATGATAGCCTAGGAAGCACGGATACGGATATGGTGATATGGGGATGTGGATATGGCGATATGTCAAAATTTGAAAAAGTATGATACGGGTACAACGGGGATACATTCGTAAATTTTTTTTTTATTTTATAATTTTAATAATGTAATATGCATGAAAATAAAACTTAAAGTAAATTAATAAATAAAGTGAGGGATTCCTAATAACCTAAAAGTGCTCAAACATTTATAAAACATCCAAAACTAAAAGCAAAAGCAAATGCAAATGCAAATTAAATATCATCCTTACATGCCAACACCAAAAAAAGAATGAGAGCAAAGAAAAGAAACGTAAGAGAGTGAGAAAGCAAGAGAGAAGTGAGAGAGACAACAAGGATACATCAATTTGACAAATTCTATTACTTTAACTCTCACTATATTCCTCTTATCAAAGAACTAAACAAAATATTATAAGTAATATGTAACTTCGAGTATCCGATACTTTCAAAATTAAGTATCCGATACTTCAAAATTAATAAAAAATTTATTAAGAAGTATCCGATAGTTTTAAGAAGTATCCGATACATATCCGCGAGTATCCGAGGAGTATCGGTATCCGATAAGTATCCGATACGGATACGTCACCCTTTTTGAAGTATCCGTGCTTCATAGACTGTGGCAGACATCCACTTAAATCCCAATCATTTCAGGGATGACTTTGCAGTGGAGGAAGAACTTCAAACAAGCAGAATACACTATCCCTGACTGAAAATTTGCTTATTGGTAAGGGAAATATCACCCCTAAAAACATTATAAGCAAAAATAAAAATAAAATAAAATAAAACTTTACTCCACTATACATCAAAACCAATCAAAAGTCTTTTGATCACCTCTCTCTCTCTCTCTCATATATATATTAGCAAAAAGAATCAAAGAAGAAGGACATACCGAATTTAACATACCTTGGCAGAATTGAGTTGCACTACATTCGAATTGAAACCAAGAACAAAGCTCAATTGCTGGCTTTCACCTCTTTGTGGAGTCCAAGAAACATGCAGACAAGCTGTTGGGTATACCTCCTTATTGGAATGTGGGACCCAATTGATTTATTAAAAGAGTTTTAATTTGGCTTGGTTTAGTATAATATATTTATATATATGATATTTGAGGAGACCCAATTCAATTTGGATACAATTAGACTTGTTTTTAAAACCCAAGATTCAATATATATGCTGGCTTTCACCTCTTTGTGGAGTCCAAGAAACATGCAGACAAGCATGCAGCCTTTCCAAATTTGGAGACGGAATCAATAACATTCTAAAACTCTGCCTCGAGAAACAATTACAAAATATTAGTTTCAGACACATATTAAAATATGTATGAGTCAAAATACCAAAGAAAACCAATAAGCATTATACATGTATATTATGTACATGCATTCATCACATATATTACATATTGTAGCACAAACAGCGCAGCTTGGTGGCAATGCCTGGCAAACACTGTTCATCAACTTAATACTTGAATTTAGTTGCCTGAGATGGTTAACAAATACATAAGAATATCTCGCACCCTTGTCCAAGTGTTGGTTCTCCAACACGTCACACGAGTATTTGATTTATTTTCTTTTGCCTTCCTTTTACCATGTGGGTTGGCCACCCTTCCATGTGGCTGCCAACTCAATTTTGGGTTGATCTCCTACAATATAGGTTGTATCATTATAGAATTACAAAGAACACCTGAAGTTGCCAATTCTTCGGTTCCAATGGATCTAGGAGTTCATACACTTTCACGTGGCCGTTTGAATATGCAGCAACCTGTAAAGGAAGTCAAACAAAACACCATAACAAAATATGCCATCATCAAAATGAAAATTTACAATTTCTTATCATATGTGTTGCCATAGAACACTATGTTAGGTTTTTATTCTTGGCAACCCCGTTTGACAAAACTCCTTTCAGATGTATTTATTTTCGCACTTTTTATTTAAGTGAGGCTATAAACTTCGATAAAATTAGTGCCTTTTAAAAAGCAACTTAAATTATAGAAACATATAGAAGCTTGACAACCCCAAAGCTATTTAGAGCCAAAAAGGGGCTTGGAAACTCTTTTTACTACAAATTAATACAAAAATTACCATATTTTCATTAACGAGCTAGCAAACTTGATTCCCTATATGCAATTCTAAGAAATTAAATGAAGAAAAACTGAGGTGATACCCATTGCCAATACCTACCAACTTCAAACTTGTGAATGAGACTCCAAATTGCATATCTAGCACTTGATTTGAACTTGTCTCAAAGTCTTTGCAAAGCTTCCATTGAAGGGGTTTCGTATCTATAGAATGACAAAACAACATTCAAAATAACAGTGAGGCTTTGTTCACAGGTCACAAAATGGGAGGCTCCCCAGCATGCTAAGCTTGAGTAATATTTTTCATGATTATTAGAAAGGAAAATGGCACACAAACAGAATTTTTAAACAGAAAACTCACCCAGAATGATGAGGTAGTGGTATTTTTAACCATGAGCCACAAAGATGGATGTTTTTGGCTTAAAATGAAAAGATTACAAAAAAGCATATAAAAATCTATCAGAGAAAAGAGTAAAGAGAACAAACACTGAACAAACCAAAATGAAACCCAGAGCAAAGAGTTACCTACAAAGTTGTTCCTAGGAAGAACATATTAAATGCAAATCAAAAAGAATTGGCCGATGTATAACACTGCCTAATTTTAGACTATGATACTGTGTGTAAATAACATAGAAAATGCATTAGAAAATTCATTGGATACCTTCAGCAACCTCCTCCCACAATGACAAAGTTCCATCGGCACAAATGCATGCAACTCCATCCCCATATTCCGGAGGAACCCAAACAACTTTCACAATGCTCACTTCATGAACCTATGAGAAGCCCAATGTCAAAAATGCATATAAATAAATAAAAAATCAAGAAAATGATGACCACAAAAAAAAAAAAAGAAAAAAAAAAAAGAAAAAGGAAACATATATGAAACTTTGAGAAGTTTGAATCTCAATGAAACTTCTGCTGCCACATCATCATTAATCCCCCCTTATCCAGTCCGTCCAAACAAACTCACCCTTAAAGTATGTTTGATTAGTAGGATAAATAATGAGTTGATTAATAATTCATGATATTAGTATAAGATTGGTTATCTAGTGGGATTAGTGATGGACATAATTTTTTCTTGTTCATGTTTGTTTTGTAATAAATATGGAAATATATAACCTCAATTATATGTATGTTTTGTGTTATTAGTTGTAGGATTAAAAAATTCGTTAATTTTGTTAAATAGAATGACTATTAGAATCCAATCCGAATAATAAAATTGCAACCAAACAATAGAATAAGAGTTTCATAGATTAATAACCTCAATCTTATGCTATAATCTACCCAATCAAATAAGTTCTTAGGCAGTGTTTAGTTCACTGAAATTGAATGGAATGAAATGATCATTCCATCAAAATATTCATTCTTATTTTTGGTTAATTAAAAAAATAAAGAAAAATACAATAAAAATGCAATCGTCATTCACCGTTACGATGGAATGAAAATTCTATAAGAGTGCTTAAGGAATAACCATCCTATTATATTCCATCCCATTTCAGCGAATCAAATAGAGTATTAAGGCCACCCATATGTTTAGGCATTTTTTTGATATGGCCACGTTCATGTCTGTTCATGATTATAAAATAAATCAAATTACTTCATCTCAATTCAATTCAATTCAATTAAAAAGTGGTTAATTTGAAACTTGATCAAGAAAATCTATGACTATGACAAACTTACAGCTTGATCAAGAAGCTCTACAGACCTTTGTACATTCACATCCATCACAATACAATGCAGATGTGATTATGAATTCGGGAGTACAGTCATATATGATGCTTTCATGATAGTAGTATGATTGGTGAAATATTAACTATATTTGCGTTGGGTGAATAAGGAATATGATGAGGTATAATTTGTGTTGGGTGAATAATAATGAGATATAATGAATGGTGATGGATGAGAGATGGTCAATTTTCTCCATTACAGCCTACAGGACTGCTAGAGAGCTCAACATCCAAATCATCATCCTCACCGACTTTCAAGCCAGAATTTGACACTTCTCCAGTCTCCACCCTTCGAACCAGAGATTTGTAGATTTCAAAACTGGAAAATTCATCTCAAAACAAGAACAACAAGACTCTAGTATTTTCCATGAAAATAAGAATCAGCCAAGAACAAGAACAAAAAAAAAAAGGGATCCATTCTCAATCAAGATTTCTATACTACCTACTGTACACAATGCAGCTAAAGAAACCAGAAAGGGGGATTCTGATTAAGTAGAATCCAAAACCCTAATTCACAACCATGAGGAACAGTAGAATCATCGATCACCTCTTTGGCTTTTGTTTCCGATTTGCAATTCAGTCGTCTCCTCATCCACATCCATCCCAACCTCCTGTTCAACTTCTTTCAATCTCGAAGCTTCAGCCTTCGCATTCAACATCGTCAACATCTCATCAACAACCTCATCATGCTTCTTCTCCGCTTCCAATTGAGCCATCTCCACCGCACTCCGAATCTCCCCCATCTCCTCCGAAGCCCTAACTTTCGAATCTCCAACAACGACATCCTCATTCAATTTCAACATACTCAAAGCCTCATCGATCGCCTCTCCCCTCTTCTTCTCGACCTCCAACCTAGCCAGAGCCTCCGCAAGCCTCTCTTCCCTCTCTCTCACTCGTTCAGCCGCCGCCACCTCGCCGCCGTCCACGGAGGCTCTGGAGGATGATGAGGTCATGGAGAGGTAACGGTCGAGGACGGAGTCGACGGAGGGGTTGCCGAAGGCGAAGGTGTTGCCGGCGTTGGAGAAGGTGATGACGGCGGCTTCGGTGCCGCACAAGTTGCAGAGCTCGCCGGTCTTCTTGAAGAGGCCGTCACGGCGCTTTGTGAAGGTGGTTTGTCTTCTGGCTTTGTCTTCGATTCTCTTGATTTCGACTCTTCTACGCCCCATTGTTACTTTATTCGCTTCTTGTTTTCGTTTTCGTTTGCGCCAAATTCAAAACCCTACTACAATGGGAATCTAAGGAATTGGACTTTTTAGGAGAACGTCAGGTCTTTTATAGGTATTATTGGAGTCGGTGGGGGCAGCCCGACGTTGCGTTGGTTTTATTTTAAAAAAAATTAATCGAACATCCCTTTTTCATTTCAACAATGATAGAGACCACTAATTTTGGAGCTCTAAAAGGCCACTAATGACATGACACTCAATAAAAAAAGAAAAAAAATATAACACCAAAGTCAAAACATCAAATCATTCCTGGTGGGACCCACTGCCACATCATTAGTGATAGCACTAATTAGTGCTCTCACTCATTTTCCTTTTCATTTTTAGTAATAAAATAAATTTAAAATATAATTTTATGATTTAAAAATATTTAAAAATTTACTAAAAAATCAACATAAACATAGTTGAATTTTACTAATTGATGTCCACCATCCTAATTAGAAATTTTAAGTGTGGTTGGCAATGTGGGAGATAGGATTTTAGTTCAGAGTGATAGTAATAATGTTATAAAATTAAAAATTTCAAGGGACGGGATATAATTTTCAAAATTATAGAGAAAAAATCGTATTTTAGACAAAGGAATTTTTGTTGACAAATCCCATTTAGAAGTGTTCTAACCCAAGAAGTTCATGAAAGAATTTTTTAACCCACTTAGTCCCTTGTATGTATACTTTTATTCCTTAAAGTCATTTTTCTTGATTTACACTATTTTCTTAAACTCTTATGTCCTTATATTTAATGTCACTAAACCCTAAACCAAAAAAACTCCATTTTCATCAAACTTTAATGCTGATATTTAACGTTCCTAAACCCTAAACCAAAAAAGCTACCTTTTCATCAAACTTATCAAAAAAATTGCTAATCTTATAAAATGGACACATTTCCAAAAAGTTCTTTAATGGCTTTAACGCCCTGAGAATTCTCTCTCATCTGATGTAAACGTTAACAATACCTTTTCAAAAAATTCTCTCTTATCTAATGTAGTGATGTGAACATTCACATCATCTGTACATTCTAATTCACATCATGTTTGATTACCCAAAAAAATAGTGGTGTGTGGTTAATGCATTGTTGATGCTATCATATTTTTGTACTTTCTCTCTCATCTGATATGAATGTTCACAACACCTTTCTCTCTCATCTAATGTAGTGATGTGAACGTTCACAACATGTGAACATTCTTATTTTTAAGTAGCGACAATATGTTATTTTTTCCCTTTTTGTGATTGTGGTTGCTATTGGTGTTGATGGTGTTCAAAGGATATGAACCCTTTGTTTTTTGTTTTTCAAAAAATAATGAAATGGTGATTTGATATATTATTGTCTATGTGTGTAGCTAGGGTTGTGATGTAAACATTCACATCATTTGTATATTCTTATTCACATCATGTTTGATTACCCAAAAAGATAGTGGTGTGTGGTTAATGCATTGTTGATGCTGTTATATTTTTGTACTTTGTAAGCTACAATGTGAACATTAACATCATTCTTATATTCAAAACAAAGATTGTTAATGTGAATCTCGACATTACCATTATGGACATTAACATTTGTATGTGGATATAATATGAATACCATTGAAGAGTATGCATTCCTACTTAATATTGTCCATTTTTTTGCCCCAATGCGAACTTTCACACGTCACCATGATCATATTGATATAACATTGTGAACATTAACATTTGTATGTGGATATAATATGAAGATTACCATTGAAAGGTATATATTTCTACTTAATATTGTCTATTTTTTTGACCCAATGAAAACTTTCACACGTCACCATGATCATGGTGTCTTTATCTATATTCCAGAATTCATGTGAACATTCACATTCGTATGTTTTATTATGAATATTCACATCATGTAATTGGCATCTCAATGACAAAAATTCATTTTCAAATTAATGTGAGTATAATGACAGTCAACATCTTGATGCATGTGAACTACCAAAACATAATGATAATCAACATTAAATATCAACATTAATAGGAGCATGAAAGATTGAGGGTGTTTTAGTCTTCTTGTGGGTTAGATAAAATAAAACTCTTAGAAAGATGATTTATCAAAAAACTCTTTTTCATGTCTTGGTACAAAACAAGCTCAATTGGGCCGAGCATGGCCCATTTAGTAATTTCTCATTAATTCTCACATTAAAGTTTAGATGAGCTTCAACAATTTTATGAGGTTTGTGAAAGAGCTCCCAAGGGGTCTTCATGGGCCTTTCAAACAGTATTGGTGGGTGTAAACGATTCAGTTCGGTCAATAATGAAAGAAAGGTTAGTATCAAATTAAAATTTTTAATTTTGATGATTGAAGAATCGACATAGACAATATGTTATGGTTTGATTTTATTCATTTGGTTTAGAAAAATAATTTACATGAAATTTTAAAGAATTTTATAAAAACTTATAGAATTTCAAAATCTAAACATTGTCAGCCTTTAAATATTCACTAATTTTTTTCTCTACACCCACTACATGCATGGTAACTTTTGTGCCCCACCAAGAAATCCTTATTTGGTTAAAAAAATATGAGTTAAAAAAAAAATCAATAAGGAATATACTAAAGATAACTATTGATAAAGTGACATGACCACAATGTCATTTGCTAAAGATAAAAATTCAATAAGGAATATCCTTTTAGACAGTAAAATCTGTCACCATATTATAGGCCTCATTTGGTAGATGTGTGAAAAAGTGATTATAGATTATACCTTAACAGCTTATAGTTTATAATTGTGAACATAAACTGATTTTTAACTTATAAATTAAGTTTCTCCTCTCCCACTCAAAGAATAAGTTGATTTTTGACTTATAAAAAGTTATAATCTGTATCGTTAAGTTGAACCAAACATATCAAAATGCTTAAATTAAGGTAAAAGCTGAAATAAACTGAAAATAAGCCCTACCAAACAGGACCATAGTTTGGTTTTAGAACTTTTCATAGCTTAACTGTTCCTACTAATTACAACATGGGAGAGATTTCTCTTCGATTCTCATCTGGATTAGAGAGGCGTTTAGACCTATGGGACTCACTATAGGTAATATTTCAATGATCTAAATTGTTCGTTTCTTAGAATTTTTTGTGTATGTTATCCATAAAAAAAAATTAGATAAATCCAATAATCGTAACATATTTATTTTATTATGTTGTCACTAAATAAATAAACAGCAAATGTGTTTTTGAAAATAGACCATTCATTTTTTTATGACAAAAACGATAAAAAAAGATGTTATAATTATTAAATCGACTTAATTTTCTTTTACGAATAATATGTACGAAGAGTTTCAAAAAATTAATAGTTCAAATTATCAAAACAAGACACGTAATAGATTCCACGAGTCCCAACAATTTTTGTCTAGTCCAAATGAGAATTGGAGAATCCCTTTGAACATATGTCGATTTATATATAATTCAAATTTCATAGAGAATAGTATTAATTTCCATATATATCACATTAGTTTATATTGGCCCAGGTTCTTAACTATTGGCACATGATGTGTCGTTATCACTTTTCTCTGCCCTTACATCTTCATAATCAGATGTTACGTATTAGAGCCATTCATTTTTATTTTTATTTTTATTTTTTATTTATATATTTTTTTAATTTTTCAGTTCCCTTCATTTTAGGAAATTTTTACAAGGATGGATCCAAATTATGGCAAGTAATATGAAAAAAAAAATACTAGAATGGTGTACTAAAATCACAAGTGGCTGATTAAAGTAAGAACCAACCATTACATTTCCTCGTTGGCCAAAAAAAAAAAAAATTACATTTCCCCATCACAGTTCAAAAAGTTTATGGGTACTAAAAATGTAAATAACCCTTTAGAAAATGATGTGATATGTCCATGGGATGAATTTCACTATTTTTTTTCTCATCTCTTAAATGAATTAATTCAATGAGTATATGTAAAATTTATCATAATTCAAAAAATAATGAAACACACCATTATTTTTTTGAATATTATATGAATCTAAATAATAATTAAAAAAACCATATCACACCCTGCTTGAACAAATTCGGAATAAAAAAAAATTAAAAAACAATGTTGAAATAGTTATAATAATATTCCTTTATATCACTAGAAATTTTTATAGTCTAAAAGTAACACATACTTTTTTCTTACCTCATATTTGGATTATGAATTTAGAAAGTGAATGAGAAATGAAGGGGAAACAAAAACTTATAATTCATTCATATTTTTCACATTTTCTCCGTCTTTTTCTAAATCTGTACTTAAATTTATAATCCAAAAATTATCTCAGAGAGAGTGGAAAGATTTGATGACCAGATAGAAGAAGTGAGTAAAATTAACTTTAAGCACTTAGAATAAAGCACAAGTTAATTTGAATATTGGATTATTACCCACACACACACACACACACAAAAAGAGTGAAATTGATATATGTGAACAATTTGGTATACCTATCTCAAATTAGAAGACCTTCAACACATTACACAAACTACAACATATATTAACAAGAACTCAGATGCCATATGATCAACTGGAATCTTTCAAATAGAAATCACTAACTATATATATATTAGACGGAAGTGTCATTTTCTATAATTTGAGTCATGACTCCATCTTATTCAATATTCTTATTGTGAAGTAATTCAAATAGCAGAAAAGATAGTCGTACAAAATTAAAAACACAAAAAATTTACAAAAATCACTACAATAAAAAGAGTCTTTGGAGACGAAAATTAATGACAAAAATAAATTTTGTTACGAAAGACGTACTTTTTAGTGAAGAATAAATTAAAATAATTAAATTATTGTGCAAAAAATAAAATAAAACAAATTTTTATTTAATCTAGCTAAAATAATTAAAATATTAAAGCTATGTTTAATATTACTATTACTTAGTAAATAATTGAAAATGATAAAATAGTCATTTGAACATTTATCCTTCTCTATAATATCCCAAACAAATATTGGATAACTAAAAATAGTCCAATCCAGACTTCCAATTCCATGACTAAAGATACAAATTTAGTCCAACCAAATAGTCCCGGGACAATGTATCCCAGGACTAATAGTTCGATGGATTTTAATCCCCCCTTATCCAGTCCGTCCAAACAAACTCACCCTTAAAGTATGTTTGATTAGTAGGATAAATAATGAGTTGATTAATAATTCATGATATTAGTATAAGATTGGTTATCTAGTGGGATTAGTGATGGACATAATTTTTTCTTGTTCATGTTTGTTTTGTAATAAATATGGAAATATATAACCTCAATTATATGTATGTTTTGTGTTATTAGTTGTAGGATTAAAAAATTCGTTAATTTTGTTAAATAGAATGACTATTAGAATCCAATCCGAATAATAAAATTGCAACCAAACAATAGAATAAGAGTTTCATAGATTAATAACCTCAATCTTATGCTATAATCTACCCAATCAAATAAGTTCTTAGGCAGTGTTTAGTTCACTGAAATTGAATGGAATGAAATGATCATTCCATCAAAATATTCATTCTTATTTTTGGTTAATTAAAAAAATAAAGAAAAATACAATAAAAATGCAATCATCATTCACCGTTATGATAGAATGAAAATTCTATAAGAGAGCTTAAGGAATAATCATCCTATTATATTCCATCTCATTTCAGTGAATCAAATAGAGTATTCAGGCCACCCATATGTTTAGGCATTTTTTTGATACGGCCACGTTCATGTCTGTTCATGATTATAAAATAAATCAAATTACTTCATCTCAATTCAATTCAATTCAATTAAAAAGTGGTTAATTTGAAACTTGATCAAGAAAATCTATGACTATGACAAACTTACAGCTTGATCAAGAAGCTCTACAGACCTTTGTACATTCGCATCATCACAATACAATGCAGATGTGATTATGAATTCGGGAGTACAATCATATGATGCTTTCATGATAGTAGTATGATTGGTGAAATATTAACTATGTTTGCGTTGGGTGAATAAGGAATATGATGAGGTATAATTTGTGTTGGGTGAATAAGGAATATAATGAGATATAATGAATGGTGATGGATGAGAGAGAATGGTCAATTTTCTCCATTACAGCCTACAGGACTGCTAGAGAGCTCAACATCCAAATCATCATCCTCACCGACTTTCAAGCCAGAATTTGAAACTTCTCCAGTCTCCACCCTTCGAACCAAAGATTTGTATATTTCAAAACTGGAAAATTCATCTCAAAACAAGAACAACAAGACTTTAGTATTTTCCATGAAAATAAGAATCAGCCAAGAACAAGAACAAAAAAAAAGAAAAAAAAAAAGGGATCCATTCTCAATCAAGATTTCTATACTACCTACTGTACACAATGCAGCTAAAGAAACCAGAAAGGGGGATTCTGAACCATGAGGAACAGTAGAATCATCGATCCAAAACCCTAATTCACAACCATGAGGAACAGTAGAATCATCGATCGCCTCTTTGGCTTTTGTTTCCGATTTGCAATTCAATCGTCTCCTCATCCACATCCTTCCCAACCTACTGTTCAACTTCTTTCAATCTCGAAGCTTCAGCCTTCACATTCAACATCGCCAACATCTCATCAACAACCTCATCATGCTTCTTCTCCGCTTCCAATTGAGCCATCTCCACCGCACTCCGAATCTACCCATCTCCTCCGAAGCCCTAACTTTCGAATCTCCAACGACATCCTCATTCAATTTCAACATACTCAAAGCCTCATCGATCGCCTCTCCCCTCTTCTTCTCGACCTCCAACCTAGCCAGAGCCTCCGCAAGCCTCTCTTCCCTCTCTCTCACTCGTTCAGCCGCCGCCAACTCGCCGCCGTCCATGGAGGCTCTGGAGGATGATGAGGTCATGGAGAGGTAACGGTCGAGGATGGAGTCGACGGAGGGGTTGCCGAAGGCGAAGGTGTTGCCGGCGTTGGAGAAAGTGATGACGGCGGCTTTGGTGCCGCACAAGTTGCAGAGCTCGCCGGTCTTCTTGAAGAGGCCGTCACGGCACTTTGTGAAGGTGGTTTGTCTTCTGGCTTTGTCTTCGATTCTCTTGATTTCGACTCTTCTACGCCCCATTGTTACTTTATTCGCTTCTTCGTTTTCGTTTTCGTTTGCGCCAAATTCAAAACCCTACTACAATGGGAATCTAAGGAATTGGACTTTTTAGGAGAACGTCAGGTCCTTTTATAGGTATTATTGGAGTCGGCGGGGGCACCCCGAAGTTGCGTTGGTTTTATTTTAAAAAAAATTAATCTAACATCCCTCTTTCATTTTTAGTAATAAAATAAATTCAAAATATTATTTTATGATATTTAAGATCTCTCAACCGTATATCCATATTTTACATAGAAATTTGTCCAATTATTTGTCTAATGCCTCATTGATTCATTTTCGATCCAACGGTTTGACGATTCACCTCCTTTTTCTCCTCGATTTATATATATATATATATATATATTTGTCTTCAAATTCAAGAATTACAGGTCTAGTTGGAGATTTCAAAGATGTTCATCGAATAAAGTGGAGAAATCAAAGAAAGCAGTAAAGAAGATTGAGAAAGGAATGGCAAGTTAGAGTTTGATGGAGACGGTAGAAACTAGGGTTTCAATCATGGCTTCTTTACTTGTCGATCTTTCCTACTTCCATTCTCTCTCCCTCTAAATCTCCCATTCTCTCTCTAGTCAGAGCAGCAACAAGAGCCCAGATCAACCACCAACTATTCTAGCATCAATTGAGTTTTTGTTATCTTTTTCTATCTTGGTTTTTGTGTCGGTGACAAAAGTGAAAGATCGTGAATTTACTCAAATATCGAAGAGAAAAACATAGATCTTTGTTAGTTTTGATTAAATTTACAAATTTAATTTCTAGGTCTTTGGTGGATTCATGACGAGTTTGGAGATATAAAGTCGGTTTGTTCCTAATTGCTGCTGTTGTTATCATCTAGGTTTCCTTTGCATAAGTAACCCAGGCCACACAATTCTTCCTGTAATTACTTTTGCTACCTTAGGTTTTAATTTTGCATTTTAGCATGCAAAATTGTATATAGAGACATGTTTGAATATGTTTGGTCTATTCAGATCTAAATGGAAATTTTATATTTGTGTAAATTGATCACTTATTTGTGTTTTATGAATTGTGAATTGTTCTTATTATTAATCGATTTTGGTTTCACAGAAGTAAAGGATTTGATTGGTAAAGGATTTGATTATATGAATGTGTTTGTAAAAGAAAATTGATTTCAATATTAGCTGTTGATTGTTGTTTAACACAGAGACGAGAGATGAGTACGTAGTCTGACCAGAGAAAATCACAAGGTGTGCGATTTGGCCAGAGAAAATGAACAAATTTCTCTGACCATTACATAGAGAAAATTAACACAAAAAATTAAATCAGAGAGAATTTCTCTGGTTTGTAAGTAAACGCTATTGATGTAAAGCTCTCTCTCTCTCTCTCTCACTTCCTAGGTCACTGTAATGGTGAATATATATGTATTCCAAATGGAGCACAGTGAATTGCTTTGTATTTGTAAAGTCTAATTTCAAAAATTAACAATTTTGTTCAGAGAAATTTTAATTTTCCCTGATTTGATTCCAGAGTAATTCTCTGCACGTAATGAGACAAATTTCTCCGATTTGGAGAGAATTTCTCTGGTTTGAAGAGAATTTCTATGTGAAGTCTAGAGAAAATTCGATTAGAGATATTCTTTGTGAACCAGAATTTCTCTGTGAAGTCCAGAGAAAATTTGATCAAAGAAATTCTCTGGATTGATTCATGGGATCTTAAATATTATGAAAATATTGGATGTCCTTTATGTTATAAAATCTTAATACCAGAGACCTTAAAAAAAATCTCCTTTATTTTATAGGTAGATAATTTATTGTGTTTGTTTATTTAAAAATAAAAATAAAAATTGTAGTTGCTAATTTATTTTTATTTTTTTAGATAAATATGATGAAATTATTTACTTATAAATAATAAATTAATTTGATTTTTTTTAATAAATAATTTATACATAAAATTTTATAAAATCAACGATTTAAATTATCAGAGTCCATATGAATCGGAGTAAATCCTCTCTATTTATAGTAATATTGTGTTTGGCCATAATTGTTTATCTTAAAATGGAAAAATTATTGATTAGTTAAGTGGCAACGTCATGTGATATTTCACATGCATTATGATTGGTGAGAGAGGTGAACATCATAATTTTATATTGAGTGATTTAAAAATATGAGAACGCATAATAATTTGTGATTGATCAAAAATATAACCATGTAATGACCTGAACCAATTAATAAATTTTTCTTAAATCGAGTTCTTATCAAAGTCAGAGATATAAGATAAATAGGACTGTGTCTTACTTCTGTCCAAATAAGATGCTCATAAATCAATTTGTGGAAATATCTTACTGCATAATAATTGATAAGAGTGCATCATTATAGGAAACTAATTTTATGTTTAATATTGTTAGTCAATGTCATCATATACATGGTATTATTGTTCTTTTATTTTTGCAAAATTAGTTGAAATACTTTAACTTATGCAAATAAATTTAAAAGTTATTTCACAAAACTTAAAAATTAAAATTTAATATTTTTTTATGTGAACCTAGCCGTTTTTTACTACCCTTGCCACATTGGGTCAACTCTATACGATAAGCTCTTCATACTCGTAGTCACAAAATGTGTATCAAGTAAACTATATTTCACAAAACTTAAAAATTAAAATTTAATATCTTTTTATGTGAACCTAGCCTTTTGTACTACCCTTGCCACATTAGATCAACTCTACACGATATGCCCTACACACTCCTAGTCACAAAATATGCGTATCAAGTAAATTATATTGATCACGTGTACTAATTAAATATTAAATCCAAAACATGTGAGTTTTCATTTCTCCCAAATTTCCCTCCTTCCCATTGGAACTGTGACCCTGAATGGGGGTTGTGTTGGGTTTGCAGCTTCCCATAATTGAAGTTCTTACCATTGGTCAAAAATAAATCAAATAAAAAAATAACCATGACTATAGCTACATTCCACTCCATCTCTGCCTAGAAAGACCCAGTAAGCGTATACTGGGAAGAAATTTTATACGTAAGAGCTGGTAATTTAAAATTTTTGAAGCTATGTAGTCTGGCAAAATAAATACAGGAAATAGCAATCATTCAGTCGGAATAACAGGGACTAGGTGGTGGGTTCAAAAGCTGCCTGCTCGTGCCAAATGTCATTTAAGTTAGATTGCCACAGCCTCACGGCACCTTCACTTCCAGTAGTTGCTAGTGTCATTCCACTCATGTCCCACTCCATCTGCCAAACCTAATCACAAAACAAGGATATGTTACATTACATTACACGAGAGAGAGAGAGAGAGAGAGAGAGAGAGAGAGAGAACATCGACAAGGATGCAACCAGCTACTTCAGTGGGCATCTTGACATACCATAGCAACATAATCATCATCTCATATGAAGCCTCATATGGCATTTAAGATCGGACTCCTTGCTAGTAAAATAATTTCAAATGAGTCCTTTATCAATGTATGAATATGCATAGAAGCACAGACAGACAAACAGGCAAACAGACACAAATGCATGACATCTACATGCATTATAACACATTTCAAAGTTCATTTGGCAGTGGCTCAGCATCTTTTCAATATATTTGCCACACCAATTATGTTCCATAAATATGCTATCCAAATTATGAAATTATGATATAAATAAAACACGCAGCTTGGGCTTGGAACCTGGATTTTTGGAGTGAAAAGAAAATGAATGAGGAAAGTAAATGAAATTAAAGCTAAAATTTTCACTTTTCCCTTCATTTTCTTTTCCTCCCCACAAATCCAAGACCCAAACATTACCAAAATAAATTTCCATCGCACACCAAAAGCCCATTGGCGGAGTGAGGTGTTCGTAAGTTAACAGCTCTAACCATCATCTTTATTTCTATTAATAAAGCATAATTACATAACAATGTAAATAGATATTGGTACAACTACCTCGCCTACATGACCAGAGAGCAACGCAACCTTCCCCACCGAGAGCCTTCCATCAAGACCAGGGTTCAATCCAAGATGCCATATTGTGATTCCCTTGTGCGTTGCAACAGCAATTACCTCGTATGGCCTAAAGGAGAATTATTTATGCAGTCTTACAGTCAATTAAAATAATAGTATTCTTTAATGGTTCCTTTAAATAAGAAAACAGGAGTAACAATAATATAATTAGGGTGACGGCATACTGATGCAAAGCTTTCCCCGAAAACTATATGCCAAAGGCAGGATACCTAATTTCTGTGCCAAGGGATAACACAGCCAAAGGAACTTTACTAACAGAGCTTTTGACCTTGGAAGATTCAGATTTTTAGGAGTAATACATATAAAAAGCATTTATATAAGAAGATAGATAAAATGTTACCTGCCAATATTTGGTGCCCATGCAACTACATAAACTGGGTCACCCTTGTCCTCAGGTAAAGCTAACTCAGCAACTGGAAGCCATCTTTGATGATCCTGATCAAATTCCCAAACCTACAGAGATACGCCTCATCATTAACTAAAACATATCATTGTGGCAGACATCCACTTAAATCCCAATCATTTCAGGGATGACTTCGCAGTGGAGGAAGAACTTCAAACAAGCAGAATACACTATCCCTGACTGAAAATTTGCTTATTGGTAAGGGAAATATCACCCCTAAAAACATTATAAGCAAAAAAAAAAAAAAAAAAAAAAAAAACTTTACTCCACTATACATCAAAACCAATCAAAAGTCTTTTCGTCACCTCTCTCTCTCTCTCTCTCTTATATATATATATATATTAGCAAAAAGAATCAAAGAATAAATACATACAGAATTTAACATACCTTGGCAGAATTGAGTTGCATTACATTCGAATTGAAACCAAGAACAAAGCTCAATTGCTGGCTTTCACCTCTTTGTGGAGTCCAAGAGATAGATGCAGACAAGCATGCAGCCTTTCCAAATTTGGAGACTGAATCAATAACATTCTGAAACTCTGCCTAGAGAAACAATTACAAAATATTAGTTTCGGACATATATTAAAATATGTACAAGTCAAAATACCAAAGAAAACCAATAAGCATTATACATGTATATTATGTATGTGCATTCATCACATATATTACATATTGTAGCATAAACAGAGCAGCTTGGTGGCAATGCCTGGTAAACACTGTTCATCAACTTAATACTAGAATGTAGTGGCCTGAGATGGTTAACAAATATATAAGAATATCTCACACCCTTGTCCAAGTGTTGGGTGTCCAACACGTCACACGAGTATTTGATTTATTTTGAAGAGTCCATGTAATATAAGTTGTAACATTGGAGAATTACAAAGAACACCTGAAGTTGCCAATTCTTCAGTTCCAATGGATCTAGGAGCTCATACACTTTCACGTGGCCGTTTGAATATGCAGCAACCTGTAAAGGAAGTCAAACAAAACACCATAGCAAAATATGCCATCATCAAAATGAAAATTTACAATTTCTTATCTTACTGTGTTGCCATAGAACACTACAACTAAAAGGATAGTAAAATAAAAACTTTGATAAAATTAGTGCCTTTTAAAAAGCAACTTAAATTATAGAAACATATAGAAGCTTGACAACCCCAAAGCTATTTAGAGCCAAAAAGGGGCTTGGAAACTCTTTTTACTACAAATTAATACAAAAATTACCATATTTTCATTAACGAGCTAGCAAACTTGATTCCCTATATGCAATTCTAAGAAATTAAATGAAGAAAAACTGAGGTGATACCCATTGCCAATACCTACCAACTTCAAACTTGTGAATGAGACTCCAAATTGCATATCTAGCACTTGATTTGAACTTGTCTCAAAGTCTTTGCAAAGCTTCCATTGAAGGGGTTTCGTATCTATAGAATGACAAAACAACATTCAAAATAACAGTGAGGCTTTGTTCACAGGTCACAAAATGGGAGGCTCCCCAGCATGCTAAGCTTGAGTAATATTTTTCATGATTATTAGAAAGGAAAATGGTACACAAACAGAATTTTTAAACAGAAAACTCATCCAGAATGATGAGGTAGTGGTATTTTTAACCATGAGCCACAAAGATGGATGTTTTTGGCTTAAAATGAAAAGATTACAAAAAAGCATATAAAAATCTATCAGAGAAAAGAGTAAAGAGAACAAACACTGAACAAACCAAAATGAAACCCAGAGCAAAGAGTTACCTACAAAGTTGTTCCTAGGAAGAACATATTAAATGCAAATCAAAAAGAATTGGCCGATGTATAACACTGCCTAATTTTAGACTATGATACTGTGTGTAAATAACATAGAAAATGCATTAGAAAATTCATTGGATACCTTCAGCAACCTCCTCCCACAATGACAAAGTTCCATCGGCACAAATGCATGCAACTCCATCCCCATATTCCGGAGGAACCCAAACAACTTTCACAATGCTCACTTCATGAACCTATGAGAAGCCCAATGTCAAAAATGCATATAAATAAATAAATAATCAAGAAAATGATGACCAAAAAAAAAGAGGAAGAAGAAGAAGAAAGGAAACATATATGAAACTTTGAGAAGTTTGAATCTCAATGAAACTTCTGCTGCCACATCATCATGTTTAAAAAATCCAACTACCAAAATGTAGTTATAATCTATACCCATGAATGACAAAAAAGATGATAATTGTGTGAGAGAATACAGGAAAAACATGAGATAATCAGGGCAAGAACTGCAATCAATACATGCAAATTTAACTTCATACTCAATGAACAATGATGCTACAACCTCAACCAATGAGGAAGAGATAAATCCACTGTTAAATGGAAAATCACATAATACATTTTTGCCATAAATGCCTTCGCACAGTATAATGAAATGCAGCCCCTTCTCACAAAACTCAACTAAAACCCAAATCCATTGATCACCACAACCTATTATTTCTCATAACCAACCCATCACAACCATGGGCACATATCATTTCCAAGCATCAACATAACAACCCTTGCTATAACCATTTCACAAGTTTCATCTTGCTACAGATAGTGTAAGGAAAAAGACCACTGACTAGACTTGTCTTCCCTTAAGCCACTTTCCTTGCCACATACTCATAATTTTAGAAGCAACTTTTAGTAACACTTCAAACTTTTGAAATATCACATTTCTATCATGTAAATTGGAATATTTATAAAAGAGTTTTGTGTTTTGGCCCCTTCAAAATTAATATAATTAATCTAAATAATTTTATCTTTGCTGCCCAAAAATTATTCTTTTTATGCAATTTTCAGCAATTATAAAACGAATGTGTTTTGGCCACCCCAAGCCTTTGAAAAATCTCATCACTTTCATGTAATTTTGAGTATATATAAAATAAATTAGTATTTTGGTCCCCAAAATCTATATAATTTTACTTCAATTTCTCCAACATATAAATAATTTTTTTTAACCCCCCCTTTGCACAATTCTGGGTTCGCCATGTAAAATGATTTAACAGTGTATAATGCAATAAATGACAACATGCTTCCCTATCTGATCTTTATTGCCTTTGTTTATAAACAATCCTCAACATTATCGCCATTATTACCCAATCTCAAATTAGAAATGCCATATAAAAACCCTATGGAATTCAATTATCTAAACTTCGAATTCAATTCAGACTAAAAGGATTGCAGATAATTATCCACTCAAAACCCATATACACACAAAAATTGTAAATTTTAACAAAGAACGAAGCTTACGAAATACGAACCCTGGATGTAGAAGTGCAAGTGAATGACGAAGAAGCCGGGTCGACTGAGTCGAAAATGGCCAAAGTTCCATCGATTGAACCAGTAGCCAATCTCTCGCCACAGTAGTTCCAAGAAGAGCAGGTCGTGCCTTTGTCAAAGGTCACCACAGACTTCTCCATCTCTCTCTCTCTCTCTCTCTCTCTCTCTCTCTCTCTAAATTTCGATTTCTTCTTCAGTGATCGGAGAAGAAAACTATTTCAATGTTTCGACATTGATGGAAATCCCCAAAACCCTTTCTCTAGGGTTTTTGTCAAAACGTTCATTTTCGCTGCATGTGCGAATTTACCTAAAAGCCCCCACGCATGCCACTTGGGAACGTGAGTTGGGAGTCCGTGAGAAATATCCGGACTTGTTTGTTGATATGTAATCTTGTATTTAAATTTTACATTTTTTTTTTTTTTTTTTTTTTTTTTTTTTATTTTAAGATGTTCCAAAATATTAGTTCTATTTAAAAAGTCAAAATAAAAATATTTAAATTCCTAAAATTGAAACGTAGAAAAGTATTATTAAGTGTACTAAAATTTAAATTCAAATGCAATGATTATATGTCTCCTAAAAAAGTTAGAATTTTTCAAAAGAGACTATTAAAATAGGACAGAGGGTGTAATGATTATATGTCTCCTAAAAAAGTTAGAATTTTTCAAAAGAGACTATTAAAATAGGACAGAGGGTGTATTTTCTTAGGTACAATTACAAAACACAAAAAACATAAAAAAAAAAAAAAAGATTTTTATTTTATTTTTTTTGTAGTTGTCCCATTTTTTTATTTTAACAAAATCAAAATTATATTAAAAAAATCAAAAATTTTATCCTTATTAAAAAAACAATTATTATAACATGATGATATTGTAAAGCTAGCTAGGGTTAAAATCGATTTTGTCTTTCATAGAAAATATATTTTTATTTTATGAAAAATATTATTTAAAGAAAAAATTGTTGAAATTGATTTTATTTTAAATTTATTTATTCAAAAATTCAAAAAATATATATAAATGATTTATACATTTATTTTTCATATCTAACAATAAAGTTAAATAATATAAATTTTGAATATATGCATATAATGTAAGGGTAAATTACTTGGAAGACCTATTTAAAAAATAAGAAATCTATTTAGGCCCACAACTTTTTGGATACTCTCAAAAGTCCACTGTATTTTTATTCTTTATTCTTCTTTGTGCATTCGTTCTTCTCTGTCTCTTTCTCTTCCTTTCCAACGACGGGCAATCCCGCCTTACTTCTCCTCTTTTTTTTTTCTAACACATAGTCACTGGCGATCAACGACCACCGTTGATTGGAGTTCACCGGCAACCATTGACCACCGATTCCTTACTTCACCCTCACTTACGGCGAATGAGACAAATTTTCGGCAAAAAAGATGAGCAGATCTATTTAAATCTTATGTAGATCTACTTTAGATCTATATCAAATATGATTTCAATATATCATTAAGGGAAGAACTCTTCATTTACTGATTAGAATGATATTCCTTTTATTTTTTGCACCTACTAGAAGGAGAAGAGATCCTTAATTACTGATATCAAGAAAGCAAGGAAGCTATGAGTGTTCGCTAATGTCTGCCATTTGATTGCTTACTTCGCTATCCAAGCGGGATGAGACTTTGCAAGAGTTTCCAAATGAACAGAAAGGGCTGGAAGATGTATTACCGGAGCAGATCTACTTAAATCTTACGTGGATATACTAAGATCTACATCAGATCTGAGTAGATCTGCATGAGAACAGACTAGATCTAAACCAAAAATTGTTGCTGGAGTACAATCTTCTTTATATATCTGGTTCTCTCTTTCGATCTCTCAATTTTTCTACATTTTCTCTACTATACACTTATATTTTCCTATTTTAATGGAGAAAATTTTCAAATTCTGAACAAATTTTTTTTAGATTTTAGTTACAGGTGGTGAAAACTGTAAAAATTTACAGTTTCAGTTTTTTTGGTACTAAAATGAATCATGCTTTAAAATTGTAAAATTTTGTAGTCTCGTAACATTCTTTAAAACTGTAAAATTTTGCAGTTTCATAACATGTTTTTCAGTTTGATTAATAAAGATAAATGATTAATTGAATCATGCTTTGAAACTGTAACAATTTACAGTTTTAAAACTTGCTTTTCAATTTAATCAATATTAGAGATTATTTGCTTAAACCCTACAAAAATTAAAAAATAATGTATACTTTTCCCATTGTTGTTGTTTGTTGTTATGGTTTTTTTTTTTGTTTTTTTGTTAACACCCCAAAATAATTCAATATAAATTAGGTACGTCAACCAACATCCATTAAAGAATAATGGCAATTCTCCAACCTTTACATCCTTAATCAATAAGGTTTGTACAAAAAGTCCCACATGCGAATTATACATTCAATGATATAAAATACATGAATCTATAGCATGTAGAACATCAATCTCAAAAATAAATAAAATGCCCTTGAGGGCTTACATTTTCCAAGGCTTAAGTCCGGTTACACAAAAATGGTTTCACAAACCCATACATTTATAGCCCTTGGCTAGCAACATGAATCACAACAAAATAAGAGTCATGTACTCTTCACAAAATATGTCCACGCCCTCAACTCGACGGGATCACCACATCCTTTCCTGCACCAAAATCTCATAAGGGTGAGTATAAAGCCAAGTAGAGAATCCTTAACAAAGTATATACATTTATGCAAGATTCCCAACATGAAATGCAAATGCCATGCAATGCCAATTAAAAGAGGATTTCATTTACATGTTTTTAAAAAAAGAAAACACCATGTTCAACAATAGCTTGAAATCTCAACAATTCAGGAATTTACAATTTTATTCAATGGGACGGTAAATACGACTAGGTAATCTCTAGGTTGGTGTTTGCAAGTAAGCCTAACTAGCACTACCAAAAACTCCACTTTACCGGTTGCTAACCGGAACGGAAGTGGTACCTCCTCCGCACGTGTTTTCGATCTTTCACCCCGGACACTCAGGCCAACTTAATCAATTCCATCTACATCTCCTATCCGGACTTACCAACGTATTTAGCCCAAAAACATTTCCATAATTTCATTTCATAACATTTCTTTCTCAACGAAAATGTTTTCAAATCTCAACTCACAACTTGCATCAATGCAATGATAGTAATGCCAATACAATATATGCCAAAACTCAATAATGATGTTGTAAAAATCAATTGAATGAATATGCAATGCAATAATCATCACCACTACATAACATTTCTCCATTGTCAAATCTCTCAACGATAATTCATCATAATTAAACTTTCCACCCCTCTTTCAACATTATCAAACATGATACCCATAATTTCGTTTAAATTCATCACAAATAAATACTTCCACATTTCGTATTGAACCAACAATTTGTTATCTCATAACTTATCTACAATTTCAACTACAAATTCCCATCTCCATATTTCACACATTCTGTGCAATACATCATTTCTATTGTGACATAACAACAAATATACTAATTTTTATAGACCCTCAACCCATTTCAAGAACAAAATCCATAAATTTGGTTTTTTTTGGGCTAAGATTAGGTATCTCCTTACTTTTTAAAAGAACACACACACAAAACATTATCTCTTCCACAATGAGAATGAAACCCTCAAGGATTAACTTAGAAAGATTTGAGATTTTAAAACCCACTTTTGAAAATCTCTACATTCTTGAACCAAAAATTCAAACCCTCATAATATTCCCAAGAAAACCCCAAAACCCACATCAAACTTGCAAAACATGTACATATAACTCAAAGAACTCCCTACCTCAAGCTTTGGAGAAGAAGAGAGAAGATAAATCCCAAATTTGACGGTGTTGAATTCAAATCTCCACCGCACAAGATGCAGTTCTCGGTTAGCTCTCCAAATTTGATAAAGGAAGTTGGGTCAAAATTCCAATGAATCCAAAGAGATGAAGAGTTTAAAATGTTTTGGTGGAAGTTTAGAGAGAAAAAGGAGCAGAAGTTGATTTTTAGAGTGAGAAAATGATATACAAATGTGATATACACACAACCCAAGGAAGAAGAAAAAACAGATTTTCAGACTGCCCAGAGGCCTGCACGTGCGGCGCCCTCTCCCGCACGTGCGGAGCGTCTTCCCATACGTGTGGCCTTCACCCCGGCACATGCGGTGGTCCTTCTCCGCACCTCACTCCGCACCTGCATATAATGCAGTGTGTAAGCTGAAAAAACCTCACTTCCCTGCACATGCGGCTTCATCTCCCGCACGTGCCGTAGAATTTTCTCTTCTCAACTCTAGACATCCTAGACTCGACCTCGCACCCTTCGAAATGAGTGAAATTCAACACCGGAATAAACAAGAGCAAAATTTTGAGAAAAAAACGCCCGAACGCAACGAACCCAATGAAGACAATGAGTGAAAAGACATACAACAAAACCGGTCATCACATTTTTTTTCTCGACAATATTCTGGACATTCCGATGAATATCCGACGATTTCCTTGACGTCCAGCGAACATACTGGATATTCTGGCGACTTTCAGTGATGTTTAGAACACTCTGGTGATATTTCGGCAAACTTTCAGTGATACTCTGACAAACTTCCTAGTGATGTTGAACATTTTAGCGAGTCTTCGGTGACCGTCTAACGGAAGTTCAGCAATGGTGGAATATAATAGCGCTTTTAAATTTACATATAAAAAAAAAAAAAGAGATTTTTTGATAACAATTAAAAATATATAGGATTAATTGGTACAAGTGTTTTGTTTGAGATTAAATAGATTTTAAACTTTTTGTATGCTCTCATAATGTAATTTGTGGGTCTTACCAGCTTTCAAGCATTATTATTCCAAGTCTTGCATTAAAATATATCTATAGTCTTAATTTATGGGGCCTAAACTGTAATTTTAAATCCTAAAAATTATAGGTAAGTTGGGCGAGCTTTGAGCTGATGTCCACCACTATTATAAGTTGTTTCACAATTCCCCTTTCGTGTTTTATTATTTTTAATAAAAAATCGTATTTTAGTTAAAATAAATTATTTTTTAAATGTACTTAATCTAAATGTAATTAAAAATAAAATATTTGTGAAAAAAATTTAAAAAAATTCAATAAATATATTAAAAGAAACATAAAAATGTACTAAATTTGTTGTTTTTTCTTTTTTTGTATGTTTTTTATTTAGTGAATATTTGAAAACTTTTGATGAGAACCATTCATTTTATGAAACACAATGTGTAGATCATATTTGAAAAAAAAAA